ACTAAAGAAAAAAAAAAAAAACTCAATCTTAATTCCCAAAATTCACTCCTAAATTAAACTAAAAACATGTTTGACCCATCAGAATCATTGATTTAATTGTTTGCAAACCTAATTTTCTTTTCTTTTTAAATATGTTAGATAAATAATTTTTTGAAAACATTTATTTTTGTTCTAAAAACCATGTTTGAGCTACCAAAATTATTGATTTTTGTAGAATCATTTTATTTTGTTGAACTCATATATTTTTTTAGAGTGCAAGAAAATGGAGTTTTTCTTGCACCGTTTCTTCGAGTTCATGACCATACGAAATTTTTTATTTGTTTATTTATTTATTACTTAATATTTTTACCGTTTGTTTTATTTATATTATTTTTTTATTTTTTTACAGTAGTACAAGAATGCTCGGTTTAGTGCTGGGAGCTCGGGAACACCACATCGATAACGTAAGGAACACACCATCGAGATTTGAGATTTCCTTGAAAAAGACGGAGCCGAGAATTATAGAGGAGGACCTTCATACCGGGCACAAGGCTCTTTGGCATCGGTCACGACAACGATAAAATTCACGGGCATTCTTTTTATAGCAGTACAAGAATGTGCGTATTTTTCTTATGTTGTTAATGTAATCATTGTTTTATAGTTTATTTGTTTTTTATATTTTTTTAATGCTCTGTGTAGCCGTGTGTGAACTCCGTAGGGCCGTAAAGGCACTAGAATGCCTAAATGTGTGTGTTTCGCGCTGGGAAACCGCGCTATTGTACCGCACCTGTATTTCCAGTTATTTAAAAAAAAATGCAACTTGCGGAACATCTCGCGACTCGCGAAGAGGTGTCTAATCACAGGCATTCTAAGCATTTCAGGGTCGCGACTCGTGGGCCATTTTGCGACTCGCGACATTCCCCGCGACTCGCGGAGAAGTACAGAGAATCCCAGGCATTCTAAGCGTTACAAGGTCGCTACTCGCGGGCCATTTCGCGACTCGCAACATCGCCTGCTCGCGTAATCAGCAGCGACTCGCGGAGTTGAATAGAGTCCCAAACACTTCATTGCCCGCGACTCGCGGGCAATGTCGCAACTCGCGAGATTTGGCTTCGTATGGCAATTTACTTTACCACTCCACTTGTGACCACTCTGCCATCTCCAAGTCCAACCATCACCCTAAAATCTTGAAACCATTAATTAATATTATTTTTTTAAACAGTTTTTACTTATTTAAAAACATAATATTTAACCATAAAAAAACATAAATACAAATCTGTCAAGAAACAGGTATTTTGAGGAAGAGTTTCTTGCTCAAGAAACCAGTTTCTTGCTCAAGAAACCAGTTTCTTGTTTCTTGCTCCGCTTCAATTCAAAGTTTAGCAATTTCTACTTATTTAAAAACATAATATTTAAACATAAAAATATATAAATACAAATCTGTCAAGAAACAAGTTTCTTGAGCTCAAGAAAACCTGTTTCTTGATCAAGAAACTTGTTTCTTGTTTCTTGCTCCGCTTCAATTCAAGGTTTAGCCTTTTTGGTTTTTTTTTTTGTACTTTTATTCTGAGTTGAGCATTGTTTTGTTTTGTTATGGGTAGAAGTTGGCAATTCTTAGTTGGGATCGTCTAGGATCAGGTACCCCTTGTACCTACTTAACATCAAGTACCCCCTTATTTCACCATTAGATTGACTAAAAAATGGAAATCAACGATGGATTCAGGGGTACAAGGCAAAAATGAATTTTTTTTAGCATTGTACTTTGTCTCGTACCCTTCGTACTTGCTAAAAACCTATTATACCCTTACTGTATTTTAAAATTTAATAATATCTTAATTAATTATAAAAAGATATTTTTATTTATTTTCAAACCCTTTTTACTTATCAAATTTATATAACAATCCTACAAAAACCAAAAAAATTAATCACAACCTAAAAATATAATTTACGATTCAAAAGTCTTTTTCTTCTTCATTGTTCTTCCGAACATCTCATTCATCCTTTCTTCAGCATTCAATCTCAGAACAATATTACCCAATCCAAGCACCAGATGCCGTCGCACAACTCCTCAAGGTACGTCCCATCCTTATCCCAAAGCGTTGTCCAAGGTACAACCAGCCATAGCAAATATGCCTCCACCAAAACCTGCGGCCCACCCCACCGAAGA